CTGCAAGTACAGTTCAAGGAAAAAGAGGACTAAAACTAGAAATCCATAGGAGAGTTTACCAGTTCAAGCTCTTTGGAGGAAACTAAAGTATAAAGTGTAACCCCCTGGGCTCCATGTCAGGCCTCGTGAAGTGGTTACCCTTAACTACAGTTTAGATATGGAGGTTTCCTGGAAACTGACATCGGGGCTTTTCGCACAGAGCTATGAATCATGAGGTTAGTAGGTTTGAACTGTAGGTGGGGTGGAAAGGGTGAGATAATGGAGGGAAAGGGTGGGAGGTTCAATAATTGCCAGTCACAGTGAAGAAAGGGAAGGGAATATGAAGTAGCAATTTCTTTAGATTTATATGAAGATGGAGCCATCATTGCATGTAGCAAAGATAGTGATTGTCTTTAGCAAATATGCAGATTTTCTCCTTCAATTTGGTATGAGTCTGAGTATCTAGAAAATCATGAAAGGAGGAGGAAGAGGTTCTTTTTCCTACATGTGTAGGCTATCCCCAGGTTACCTCTTTCTGTTCCTGATGAGTTATTTGCGTATGTCTGAGACATCGGTTTATTAACAGAATTAAAAAGCAAGCCTAAGACTCCTGACTGCAATATCATGTTTATTCCACTACATCAGGTTATTTGGAGTTAATGAACTAAAGTCCGGATTTTGTGCATTCAACAGTCTTATTTTTATTTTTTAGTGCAATTAAATACTATGTAGGCTCCTGGAATTCACAGGTGACTAGAGTTACTCCTGCACTCAAGGAGCTCACATTCTGGTAAAAGAAGGGATGTTTATAAAATAAAGTGGTTCTTACAATGGAAGAGATGCCCAGGTATTACAGACACTGATTGCAGGATGGGGTTGAGGGGGATAGTTGAGGGCTGTGAAGAATTAGACACAGAGCAGTCTTTGTGGAAAAGTAACACTTGAGCTGAGTCATCCGTATGCCTAGTAACTAATCAGTCTAAAAGGCCAGAGTGGGAGAGAGGGACAAATTTTAAAGAATCACAGGAGCAAAGGGAATGAAGAAGGTACTGAAACAAGTATTCAAGATTGCTTGCTAAATTTTAAATTATATATAAGACAGGGAGTGTTGCCACAGGTTTAGAGCCATGGACAAGAGCAAATTAGGAAAGGCATTTAGACATGTAAGTGTATCTGCATAAATCCATCACTTGTCAAGACAATGAGCATGTTCCTCATTCTCAAAAGATTCCTCACAGCCTTTGTAATCCCTTTCACTCACACTTCCCTGCTTACCTTCTACTCACCACTGAAGCCTCACCTCCAGTGTCTCTGGGCGATCATTGATCTACTTTCTGTTGCTATAGGTTAGTTTTCATTCTTTAAAATGTTATATAAATAGAATCATATGGTATGTAATTTTTTGTCTAGCTTTTTTTCTCACCATTATTTTGTGAAATTCATCTATTTTATAGTGTGTTATCACTAGTTCACTCAATTCTATTGAATAGTATTCCACTGAACAGTCATACCACAGTTCACTTATCCATTCATTTCTTGATAGACATTTGGATTGTTTCCAGTTTTAAAATATTATAAATTAAGCTGCTGTGAACATTTATGTACAAGTCTTTGTATAAAAATGTGTCTTCATTTTTCTGGGTAAGAATCTAGAAGTAGAATGACTATTTTATTTTATTTTTCATTTTATTTTATTTTTTGTACCAGGGATCAAACTCAGGACTTTGTGCTTGTGAGGCAGGCAGCGGCACCACTGAGCTAAATCCCCAGCCCAGAATGACTATTTTATATGAATTTATATTTAACTTTTTACAAAGCCAGAAAATTGTTAACATGGATATCCCATTTTATATTCTCACCAGTGTATGAGAGTTGTAGTATCCTCACCAACACTTGGTGTGGTTAGTTTTTTTAAAAACATATTATACATTTCAGTAGATGTGTAGTGATATCTCATTATGGTTTTAATTTGCAATCACTTAATGACTAGCAAAGTACACAGTTTGTTCATCTGCTTATTTACCATCTACTTTTTGGTGAAGTATCTGTTCAGATCTTTTGACCATTTTTAAATTAGGCTGCTTATTTTATTACCACTGAATTTTTAAAAAATTCATTAATTTTATTGATACATTTCAGGTATACAATATGCTGACATTCATTATTGGGAATTTGTACTTTTACATATTATATCTTGCTTCTTATTTTTTCCCCATTCCTGTGACCTCCATTCAACCCCTCCAATCCTCCTTATTTACAAAGATTTGTTTCCATTTTTTCCTTTTCTCATATTTATCCCATTCACTTCTTTCCTTTCCCTTTTCCCTCCCAGTTCCCCTTCCCCTTTGGAGCTTTTCTTCCTATTTCCTATTATCTATTATACATTTTTATCCTTATTTACACTTTCAGTTTCTTACACCAGAGAAACTATTCGATATTTACATGTGTCCTATTTATTTCACTTAAGAGTATGGCCTCAATGTGCATCCATTTAGCTATAAATGTCTCTAATTTCTCATTCTTTATGGCTGAGTAGTACTCCATTTTATTAAAAAAAACACACACATTTTCTTTATCCAGTCTCCAGTTGATGGACAATTGGTCTGTTTCCAAGTTTTAGCTATTACAAACTGTGCCGCTATGAACATGGGTGCACATGTATTGCTGTGGTATGATTCTTTTAATTCTTTGGGAAGATACCCAGCAGGGGAATAGTTGGGTCAAATGGGACTTCTAATCCTAGTTTTTTGAGATATCTCCATACTGATTTCCACAATGATTATACCAGTCTACACTCCCACCAACAGTGGAGAAGGGTTCCTTTTCCCCCACATCCCCGCCATCATTTGTTATTGGTTGTTTTCTTGATAGTAGCCATTCTTTCTTGGGTGAGGTGGAATCTTAGCTTTGTTTTCAAGATCTCCCAAATTGAAAGATCCAATCCAAAAATGGACATCTGAAAGGAACAGACATTTCTCAGACAAAGAAGTAGAAATAGCAAATAAACATATAAAAATGTTATCATTGAATTTTGAGAGTTATTTATGTAATCTGGATACAAGCTTTCTTTCTCTTTTCTTTTTTATTTTCTGTTGTTCATTTTGAGGTAGGTTTTCACTGTGTTGCTCAGGCTGGCCTTACTTGTGAGCTCATGCAATCCTTCTGTCTCACCTCTCCGAGAAGTTGGGACTGCAGTCATATGGCACTGTGCCCAGCTTGTTTATATTATATGTGATTGGGAAATATTTTCCCTTTTCAGTGGCTTGTCTTTTCATTCTCTTAAAAGTGCCTTTTGAAGAGCAGGGCTTTTTTTTTTTCCTTTCAGTTTTGAAGTCCAATTCATCAATTATTTTATAATTATGCTTTTGGCATCTGAGAACCCTTTGGCTAACCAAGGTTGCAAATATTGTCTCCTATATTTTCCTCTGTGGTTTTATTATTTTAGGTTTTACAATAAGGTCTAGGATCCATTTTCCAATGTTTTTTGATATAGTGAGAGGCCAATATATATGGCCAATCTTATTTTTTTCATATTGTTACCCAACTGGTTGAGCATTGTTCATTGAAGAGTAACCTTTAGTCTCTAATGTATTGACTTTACATCTTTGTTGAAAATCAATTGTCCATATCTAGGGTCTCTGTTCCATTGATGCTTTTCGTTTGTCCTGAAGCCAATATTGTGTTATCTTTCATGTTGTGTCTATATGAAACTAATGAAATTAGATCAGTTGCTTAATATATATAGAAAAGATTGCAGTGAGTGACAGTATAGGTTGGGATCACAATGCATCTGTAGATAAATCTGGGAAGAACCAACATTTTAGCAATATTGTGTCCTGACTTATGGAAACGGTGTATTTCTCCGCTTACCGTATCTTTTTCAATTTTCTCAGCCATTTTTGTTTTGTTTTCAAATAATCTTTCACATTTTTTACCAGCTTTATCCCTAAATATTTTTTATTTGATGCTATTATAAATGATACCTTTAATTTTTATTTCCAATTGTTGTTAGTGTATAGAAATACTAATGATTTTTGTACATTTCATCTTGTATCCAGCAACTTTAGTATGCTCACTTATTAATTATAGTAACTGTTTTAGCTTTTTTTTGACTTTCATGTGTGGCATTCCTGGTACTTTGAGTGAATCCAGACTTTGTGAATTTTACCTCATTGAGCACTGGATAGTTTTGTATTTTTATATATCTTATTGTGCTTTGTTCTGGGCTGTACTTAAATTACTTGGAAAATATTTTATTTTGGGAGGCATGCTTTTAAGATTTGTTGGATGGAACTGGAACTAGAGCTGTTTGCTCTTTATTACAGAGACAGGACCCTTCTACTATAACTTTTGAGTCCTGAGGTTTTTCAGTCTGGCTATTGAGAATAAGCACTAATCCCAGCTTTGTGTGGCTGTGAGGCACAGTTCATATGTCACCTGACCTTGGATGGGTTCTTTACATGCATCTGCTAATCAGTGGTCAGCTAAATTTTTATTGGGCAATTTGGTAGGTTTAATAATGGGTGCCCAAGCATGCCCATGCAACTTTAGTGCAAAGGTGACTTTGCAAGTGTGAGTAAATTAAGTTTCTTGAAATGAGAGGTTATCTTAGATTATCCAGGTAGGGCATCCAGATATATGAGCCCTTATGAGAAGGAAGCAGAATAATTAAAAAAATAGGAAATGTGATGATAAAAATAAGAGATTGGAGTGATGTGAGGAAGGGGTCAAGGAATGTGGATGACTTCTAGAAGCTGACAAAGGTAAAAAAATAGATTTTCTTCCTTAACCTTCCAGAAATTAATACAGCTCTGTCAACAACTTGAATTTTGACCTTCAGAACTATAAAAGAATGACTGTTACTGGTTAAGCCATGAATTTTGTTCTAATTTGTTACATCAGTGATAGGAAACTAATACAGGTATCCTGTTCAAATCTCTGGTATTTGTTTGCTAAGCAGCTGTGTCTTGTTCATTACTCTGTTCTGTGAACCACAGATGCCTTGGTCTCCTTAGAATCTCAGCTTTGTCTCCATAACAATGGAATCTCCCAGGATTCCCTTATCTGTCTCATTGTCTCAAAACCATCCATGCCATAAACTTGAGTAATCAAAGAACTCATACATTCATTCATGTTCCATCATCTTTCAGGTGGTCACTATCCTTCATTGTTTTGTATCCAGTGTCTTGTAAGCCATCATTTTCTAATCTGTACATTTGTTGTTGTTTCAAGTGAGAGGATAAATCTGGTTCCTGTTTTATTTTCACTAAAATAAAAAAGGTAAAATTAATTTTGATAATATATCTTACTTATCTCAATATTCCCAAAATATCATTTCCAGATGTAATCCATATAAAATTATTAGTATAATCTTTTTGTACTAAGTCTGTATTTTACACTTACAACAATCTTAATTCAGACTATCCAAATTTAAGTTCTCAAAAGCACAACAGAGCTCTAGGCTACAGAGAATCATGATAGCCAACATTTAGCTGTTCAACAGGATAGACTCATTTAAATATGTCAACTTGAATATCAACTACTCCATAAAATATTCTTGATTAATTCAACTAAAAATATTTCAATTTTCATGGTAATTGGTTCTGTTCTTAGGGATGTGTGTATTTGGTTCTTTTATTGCTTGCCATATATTATGCAAAAGGTGAAAGTAATGATTTGCAAGGATTTGGAAGTGAGGATAGCCAAATGTCACATTTGTCTTGGCTAGCTTTCCTATGACTGAGACAAAATATGTGACACATACAACTTAAAGGGGGAGATGTTTATTTTGGCTTATGGTTTCAGTCTGTGGTTGGCTGGCTCCAAGATAGAAACAGGATGGCAGAGGAGCATGATGGAGAAAAAGATACTCAATCCATGGAAGCCAGGAATCAGAGAGAGAGAGAGACAGACAGACAGACAGACAGAGAGGAAGACGGAGGAGGAAGCAGGGATGAGAATACACCCTTCTAAGCCATGCTGTCAGTGACTCACCACACACCACACCTCCAAGCATGACAATTTTGGAGGACATTTTAGACCTGTACCACAACATTCTGCCCCTGGCCCCTAAAAGGCTCATGTGCATCTCATTATACAATAGCATTTAGTCCATCTCTAAGAGTTTCCATAGTCTTAACAGTTCCAGCAGTGCTGAAAAGTCTAAGTCCAGGGCTGGGGCTTTAGCTCAGTGGTTCCACCACCTGTCCCACAAGCACAAGGACCTGAGTTTGATCCCTGGTACCAAAAAAAAAAAAAAAAAAAAAGGTCTAAGTCCAAATTTTCCTCTGAGAAACAAAGCAAGCTATTAGCTGTGTGTCCCATTAAAATAAAAAATAAAGTTATATTTCTAACATACAGTGGTATGGAGTAAACATTCCCATTCCAAATGGGAGAGAGGAGACTAGACAGAAATTAGATCACAGTATGACTTAAACCCAGCAAGGTAAATATTAAATCCTATAGCAGCATGTCTAATACTCAGGGCAAGTAATGAGATGTGAAGTCCAAAGGTCTTGGGCATATCTGCCCAGTGGTATTCCTGGTGGTACCCCACATGGCTTCTCTCTTAGGCTGTTTGCTTATGTCCTGTGGCTTGTAAGATGTTCAGCAGACATTCTATGTTCCTAGCCTCTCAAACCTTCTGGAGTCCACTGCAATTTCAGTTTCACTCTCAAAGCTTCATACACTGTACTCTCAGAGGCTCACTTCTTAGCCACCCAGGCCTTCTTCTGAAATCTGGGTGGAAACCTCCCTGACCCCACCACGGTTGCATTCTACATGCCTATAAAACCAGGACTACATAGATGACACCAAGATCTGCTGCCAGCTGATGCAATGGGCAAGCCTCCTTGGATCATGCCTATGGGAGCCTCTGAGTGCCTAGACAAGTGAATTTGGGAAGTATTTCACTCTGTAGATTTGAGTGATCAGAACATCTTGGGGCTTTCTTTTTAAATGAATGGATTATACTTTTGCATCTTTGAGCCTGAGAAGGGTGGGAATTTCTGATTCTTGAGATGTAAGCTATCTTATTGTCCTGATGCAAAGTACCTGGCTTCTTCTTATTATTTTATTTATTTATTTATTTATTTTGCTATACTGGGGATTGAACTCAGGACCTTGAACTTGCAAGGCAAGCACAGTGCCACTGAGCTAAATCCCAAGCCCTACCTGGCTTCTTTTTAATGCTAATCTTTTCAGAAACCACATTCTCCTTTTCCCCCATTTTGTAGGTGCTTGCCTTCTGATAAAGCTGCAAACATTTTATATGCACTTTTTATTACCAATTTTTACTCTAGACATGGCTAAAAGCAGCCAGTAGTACCCATGCAACAGCCTGAATGTTGGGCTGGTTTGCAATTTTATCTGCCAAATTAACTAGTCCATAATCCTTAATCTCAACCTCCTGTAAAGTCTAAAGACATGGGCAAAACAGACAATTTTGATGGGGGGACCAGGGTGTAATACACATGGCTTCTAGATCAATTGCCAATAGACTCCTTGTTTCCAACTGAAATCTGCTGAGTCTGCTCTTTGCTATCTTGTCTGTATTACTTTCAGAATTCTGGTCTTCTGAGGTCTGACCAAAATTTCTCATCAGGGCCGGGGATTTAGCTCAGTGGTTCTGCCACCTGCCTTGCAAGTGCAAGGTCCCGAGTTCGATCCCTGGTACCAAAAAAATTTTTTTTAACTGAATAAACTTAAAAAAAAGGGGGAGCTGGTGATTTAGCTCAGTGGTTCCATGGCCTGCCTCACAGGTGCAAGGTCCCGAGTTCGATCCCCAGCACCAAAAAAAAAGAAAAAAAAATTTTCTCATCAACCTTAGTTTACAGCATTTTAGGGCTTCTCTACCCAGCATTTCCAAACCTGTCAAAACTCCTTCCACAAACCAGTTCTAACAGCTTCTAAGCCACAAGTTCAGGTATATTCATGTCACTAACGTCTACTCTAGGTACTAGAATTTGTTTTAGTTATCTTTCCTGTTACTGGACACCCACAACTTAAAGGAGAAGAGGGACTTTCCAGTTCCACTTCTGTCTCTCTTAGGCAGAAGCTTTCTTTCTCTCAATAAATTTTTCCTACTCTTAACCTCTGTTGTCCCTGGAATTCCTTCTTCGATTTTAGAGGACACAAGCTTGCATTTTGGATATCTAACAGGTTTGGGAGTTACATCTCTTCCCTCTATATCATTTGGGAGGACTTCCATAGAAATTACTGGTCAGTGGAAAATAGAAATTCAAAGTATCCTGGAAAGAAGGTACTTGTAAAAGAAGCAAGGAGGTTCAATAAGGAGACTGGAGACCCCCAAAGCTGCCCCTAGCACAGAGGAGGTGAACCTTCTGGGCCAACATACCACTGGCCCCAGCACCTAGGAGGTGAGCCATGAGGTTGCCAGCACATATTCCCCACCCCTTTGAAATGAGAAAACATGTAAACAAGTCTCAAAACCAGATTTCCAGATCACCTAAAGCAACCACAAAGGGAAAAAAGAGATGACACAATCTGATACAATCCCTGAACTGGCAACAAAAGAGGATCTGGAAAAAAATGAAATCAGAAATAATTTCTCAGATAACAGCAAAGATTGTGACCATAGTGTAAGACATGATTAATTAATCTAGAAAAGACCCAGATAAAAAATACAGGAGGAGAGGAACATGATGGAATCCCAACATAGGAAACAAATGGAATCCATAAAACAGATACAAACAGATTCCCAGGACATTAAAACTTCCATTGAAAGTCTACACAGCAGAATGAGCCAATGTGAGGACAGAATCTCAGATATAGAAGATAAGATTGCAATTAGTGACCAGGAAAAGAAAAATTGCTTTCAAATAGTAAGGGACCATGAGAAAACGATCCAGCAACTGTCAGATGATGCAAAGAAGAATACCATAAGACTGATTGGAGTCAATGAAGAAACAGGAACAAGTGCAGATAACATAAAAAAAATTGCTCACAGAAGTAATAGTGGAAAACTTCCTAAGCAGGAGAAAAGAACTTGACATACAAATAAGGGAGGCATATAGGACTCCAAATAGCCTTGATCAAAAAAAACTACACATAGGCACATAATAGTTAAGATTCCAGAAACCCAACAGAAGAACAAAATT